CATATTCTATCATTTATCTATAACTCTTGTATTCCCTAATAATTAATTAAATTTTAGATATTATGATATTTCTTCGTTGAAATTTAAATTATTTCTTGAATTCGGTTTGTTAATTTTTTTCTCTTGAAAATGGAAAGTATTAAAAACAAATAATCAATTGTTTATGGGAAAATTCTTGTATAAGAGATTAAGTCTGAAACATTTCAAAACTAAGAAAAAAGCTTTAAACCTTCAAAAATCAGATTTTTTAAAATTTTATTTATGAACTAATTAATTAAATATATATTTTATTAATTAAATGCATTAAGGTCACAATTCTATATAATTTGATCACAAATTATAAATTGATTGGTTACAAATTATTGATCATAATAAAAAATTTTATAGGTTATAAATTATTTTACGATCACAAATTAAAAAAAATTATAAGTCATAATTTATTTACCGGTCACAAATTTATCGAATTAATAGGTCACACATTATTCATTGGTCACAAATTATAAATTTTACAAGTCACATTTATTTTGTGGTCACATTAATAGCTAATTAATTAATCACAAATCAATTTTCGGTCACAAAGTATGAAATTACTGGTCACAAATTAACAAATTTTTAAATCACACATTATTTATTGGTCACAATTTATCAATTTTATTGGTCACATATTGTTTATTGGTTACAAACAATCAAATCGTTTGTGACCATCGTCAACACTTGTGACCCCCCACCTTATCACTGCCATTAGCCATATCGACGTTGAAACCATCGCCCCCAGAACCACTAACATTATCTCCCAGCAGCAAAATCATCATCTCAATCGCAACCAAACACCACCACCACCAGTCTATCACTCCACAACTACAACCCCCACGAAAAAAATCCTCAAATCTGCCGCCGGGCACTACTACCACTCCCATCGTCACCGCATCAACCCCAACACCACCATCTCCACTTCACAATCTGAAACAGAAAACAAAAACAAAAACTTTGGTTGAACAAGCGGTACTGTGAACACCGCTGGCACTCACAACGATGATCAGAATGTGCCACCGCGTGAGGGGCTCAAAACAGTACCGCACAACGATGTGGCTTTTCTGTGCTTGGTGACAGGAAAGCGACGAATTGGCGTACGACAAGAGAAAGACGGGAGAGCGGTGACGACGTTACGTGTGACGATAAGGACGACTGGAGATGAAGATGACCGAACTGTTTGAGGAGTGGCTTCACAGTGAAGTGCACAGCGGCACGGCGAGCTCGAAGGTTATCTTCGATGAAGTGGGTCGATGTGAGGGAAAATAGATAGCAATGAGAGATATAGAGAGAAAAATGAGAGTGTGAAGTAATTACGGTTTATGATTAAATTTGGTTGGGTGGGGTCGAGTGAATGGAGGTAGGTTTGGTAGTAAATAAATTTAATTTTATAATATTATTATTAATATTGAATGAATATCTGATTTTTGTATAAATAAATTTCAGACATAATTTTTGAAATTGGATCTTAAAAGATATGGTTGGGTGTAATTTCCACTTGTTTTATAGGAGAAACTAGATTGAAATCTGAACTACTTTCTCTGGCCCAAGTTGTGAGGAATCTTAAAGGGAAGAGTTCACAAATCAGATATTAACTATCATTAAATCAATTTTCAGGCTTTAAGTTTGAAAATTTCAAAAATCAGGTATTTGTTAATTAATTAAATATATTACAATCAAAATTATACAATTCATGGCCACAGATACATCCTTATGAGTCACAAATTATTTAATGGTCATATTCTATCAAATTAATTGGTCACAAATTATTTCGAAGTCACAAATTAAAAATTTTATACGTCACAATTTATTTCATTGACACGGAGAAAAAAAATTGTTGGTCATAAATCATAAATCGGTCACATATTTTCAAATTGAACCAAATAGTTGGTCACATA